AAATTTAAAGATTGATTTGGAATTATATTAGAAAATTTTTAATCACCAATGATTAAATCCACAAGTTTATTAATTTTAAATTGTATGGTCATAATGAGTGGTTCACAATTTAATGTTTAATTGTATGGGTAGTTTATTAGTTACTAAAGTGGTTTAACTTTAAAAAGTTATTTAAGCATTTAATTGTGTATTATAAATTGTTCATATTTATATGATGTTTTCAAGTAATATAAAAATTTAGAATGAACACTTTAGATCATTAGTTATAATGTTATGAGGTCACTCAAAGGTGTATCATTAATTATAATTAATGACATTAAAGAGACATGTAGGTACTTGATAATGTGTTTGTATATCCAAAGATAACATGCATGTTAGCTTGAATGTGACTAATTGCCTATTAAAGCACGTTTATTTTAGCATCATTATAGATTAAATTATGAATTTAGATACTGTCTAAAGGTGAACTTAAATGCATAATTGATGTTAGTTGTTCGAATCTATTAAGTTTATTCAAAGCATTAATGTTTAAGCGTGTATTATATATTGCAATCTCCAAGAACATGTTTGGTCTAGGTAATGACATAGTCAAGTTCAATGGACTGAACTATAAGGATTGTGTTGAGGTTTGATTCTGAGTTTGGACATAGTAATCATAATGGAAGAGAAGTCTGTAACCATTACTGAGACTAGTACAAATGGTGAAAAGACTTTTTATGATCCTAGGATGAAAATGTTTATAAAGGTGAGCATACTATATCCCACTAATTCTCATTTTATAATACAATTAAAGTAATGCAGAAAATATTTTCTAATAATCATGTATCAAAATAGAAATAATTCTTTTTTACAATACTAACCAAATAGAAATCATTCGTATACATCATTTCACATTTAATCAAATACAATCATTCAAACAATGAGCTTAAGCCATTTTATTCATTTCAATTTTGAAATATTTACCAAATAATGGTACTATAGGTACTCATGGACCCTTATATCACTATCAAAATATTCTTCCTAGTTATGAAGGACTTACGCCAGCATGGATAGTCGTCGGTTAGCCACCACACGCAGATACAGCATGTGCGTTATACGACATTCATAGCAAAGGTATAGTCAGGAGTATAGTTAGAAAATGAGTGTGAAGCCTGTGAATACTTTCACTATTGATTGTGTACACATCAGCTATTAACATTCATCACCCTTATTTCTCTCAAATTTCCTAAATCGCCTACAGGCTCTATACTCCAGTGTATCTATGAACTATCCATATAGAAATTCAATAGTGGCACACTAAAATTATACTATTTACATTAATCAATATTGTCCTAATATATGTGTTATAATCATACTAATATATCATTATACAATTCAATATAATGTGTCCAAGGTTAGAGACCTCTGGACTCAAACTAATTGTATAGTTCATGGTATATTGCCAGAAATCACACTCATTCAGTTTTAGTAAAATCACATATCCTAGAGCATTATTTACAATACACATATTATTCAAAATAATAATTTATAACATCAACTGTACATACATAATGATCATTAATAAAATCATGGAACTTATTAAAATGGTTTTATTCAGAGCTTTTACTATGAAATTGCATGTAAATAGTTTTGAAACCACTGATAGGTTCTTCATGCCCAAAATTTTCATTCTTAACATTATATTTTCAAGAAAATATTTCTGATCTATTATTCAAAATGGAGTATTATGGGTTTTTCATGCTAAAGCATAAAAATAGAACTTAAGATTTGGGATCAACTCTCCTTACCTAGAAATAGGTCTCTGAGACTAAGTTTTCGTGAAATCTAGAGAGAAACTCAATGTTTGATCAGAGATACTACCCAAAGACCAAAGTTTTTCCTAACATCACAGAGTATAGTATTATTATGAAAAGAGAAAAAAAAAGAAATAGAAGTAAAATGGAAGAGTTAAACTCTGGAAACTTACTTGAATTCGAGCAAAATAGGTGTTCAAGTTCAGATTTGAAAGAGATTCAGAGTTTAAGGAGGTTTTCCCTAGAAAGGAAGAGGGAGAGAACAAAGAGAATGAGAAGGAGAGGTGGTTTGGTGTATAATAAAATTTCTCAACATGAAGTCCCTTAAATATCCTCCAAAACATGCAATTTCTTGCTTGAGCGACATTATTCTCGCCTGAGTGAGCTCCTTTTTGCTTGAGCAAGAAAATCAGACAACAAATTTTCTAGCCTTTTCTAATATTCTCACCTGAGCAATAATGGGTCCAGAGAGTTTTCTAATTTTCTTGCGACTCCGCCTAAGCAAAATCCTTCTTGCTTGGGCAAAGGGACAGTTGGGGCGATACTATCCTTTCTCGCTTGAGTGAGAATCCCTGTACCCAAAATTTCTATTTTCTAAAAACATGGGTAATAAAATTAAGGGTGTTACAACTCAGATTTGTAAGTTAGTCTTTACATGTAAAATTTTTTTAAATCAATTCCTATACGTACATTTATTTTTTATTTAGTCCCTGCTATTAAGTTTAAAGTAAACGATGTTAAATAAGCAAATAATTAAATTGAAATAAATGTATATATGAAGATTGATTTATAATTCTTTTACACCTATGGACTAACTTATAATTTTTTTACATATAGGACTAACTTACAAATACAAATTAAGAGTATTTTTGTAAATTTGAGAGACACTTTTGATTTGCATCTTGATTTTGATAGTGTCGAGGAAGTGGAGAAAGACATAGATGAATGCGCCAACGATTCTACCTTTGGCAATAGCAATGAGGGCGTATTCGAGGATGAAAGGGGTTTTGATGAGAAATTGATGTTTAGGGTGGGTGAGTGTGGTTGAGAAGAGAAGGAAGTTTGGTGAAAATTGTTGAGAGTTAGTTGAGTTTTGGAGACGAAATACTAAGAAAGGAATAGACTTTGGTCTCCATTGATGTTTATGCAAGGGAAGAAGAAGAATGGAGAGAGTGAAATTGGAGGTGGAGGTGAAGGGGAGGATGTGAGTGAGAGTAAAAGTGATGAAGTAGTTGAGAAGAGAAGAGAGTTTAGTGAGTGTTGTTAATAGTTGGTTGGATTTTAAGGATGAGAGGTGAAGAGAGAAAGAAACTCTGGCCTATGTTGAAGATCGGAGAGAGTGAGATTGAGAGGTGGAGAAACACATAAGATAGAGAAGGAAAATAATAATGTCATTATTTTATTTATTTATGTTTATACTTTATTCAAATTTATAAGTTAGTCTTTATATATAAAAAAATTTGTAAATAAGTTCTCATATGTACATTATTTCAATTTAGTCTCTTGCTTATTTAATGTTGATTTATAAAGTTTTTACATACTAACTTACAAATCTGAATCAATTATAGAGACCAAAATACCATTTAAACTAAAATTATATCAAGCAAGGGTGACGTGTTTCATACCTTAAATTCAATTAGATGTCTAAATATAAGGAATAATTATATAAAATATTATCACATAAATAAATTATTTAAAATTAATAATATTTTCTATATTTAGAAAATAATTACATATTTATACATATATCTTTTTATTTATAATATTAAATATAAAAAATTATATTTAATATTATAACTAAATAGTAAGATAATTTATAAGAACACATTCATAAAATAATCTACTAAAAATTAAATAAAATTCTAATTAAATTAAAATTATTATATTAATATATTAAACTTGAGTGAGTCTAGCAATCAACCAATGCTTATTAGGATTTTAATTTATTCTGAATACCATATTAGATACTAAATTTCATTGAGTAGCTACCCTATCTCTTCGGTCTATTAACATAGTGACTACAGTAGTTGCAACGAAAGTGTTTATGTGAATACTTTAAATTATGTTTTCACTTATGCATATGCATTAAAAATTAATGTTGTTCCACTGCTCCAGTCCATACAGAATTCCCTCTACTAAAAAAAATATTATTATTTGTTTATTATTTAGAATAAATTTAGTTTTTACTGCAATATAAAATGTATATTAAATATTAGCAATATTAGTAATTATTATATTCATGAATTATAATATGTTTTTTAGTGAATATTCTTTATAATAATAATAATTATATTAGAAAATTTATTATTAAAAATAATTATTACAAATTTAATGCCTAAAGGTATGTACTAAAAATTATATTTGTTATTATTTAGAATAATATTTTTTATAAATTTAAATATTTATTTTTTATCATTATGTACTAGTTTAAAGTAACAGATTTAATATGCATATTGATATAATTTTCATATATGTTAAAAATTTAATCCAAATATTATACGCTCATTGTTCTTTTGTTTTATTTTTAAAAAATAATTTTAGGAAAAAAAAAGAACATATTCGAAGCTTGGCCAGCTACCAGTCTACCACTAACACGGAGCGAGGGACCAGGGTTGCCAGTTCATTCTGGTGGGAACACAAATCCCACTAAACCATACGCGCTGAGACGCTTCAATTTCTTATTTTGTAGAATTATTAATACAAAAAAATTGTTAATTTCACCTTTAGAAATAGATTTAAAGAATTAAGAAAATATATTTATTATATTTTTGCAACTTTAATAAAATAAAATAAAAAATATTTATTTAAAAAAAATACTAAAACTCTTCACTAAAACTGGAATATGGGTGGTCCAATTTGACTTATCTTAATTTGTTTGTTTTGTTTTTCTTTGTCTTTATAGAGCCAGCCTTCTAAGAAGCATGGCCGCCAATGCGTAAGCGTGTGAAAGGGTGTGAGGACCTACGTTCTGTTGGTCCAAATTTCTTACAAAAACAATTTGATTATCTTAGACAAACACACCGTCTTCTAGAAGGTTCTTTCGGAAGCGAGTTTTCTTGCGGATGCCATCACGTGTCCAAGTTCACACGTTAATAACATAAGGTTAATCCATGCATTAGATTAGGATTTGGTGGATTCATTTGTCAACTAATTGAACCAGTCCTAGTCCTATAAAAAGCATCCAAACCCTTCCAACACTCCATCTCCGTTGTTCTCCAAACACCAATTGTTCTTGTTCGGTTGGTTCTGAATTCAGAAAGGAAGGGATGGGCTCTTATGGAACATCTTGGGCCGACCAGTGGGACGATGGGCCTGACCCAGTGAGTCTGAGTGGTTCCAATGAATCGAAGAAGAAGAAGATCAACACCGCACTCGGCAAGACCAAGGCAGTGGCCTCCACCGGGGTCAAGAAGTTCAAGGAGGGTTCCTCCGTTGGCATCCAATGGATCAAAACCAAGTATAACAAAACCACCCACAAAAATTAATTTACTTTTATTTTACCCTTTCTCTCTTTCCTTGTACGTATTAATAATATCTATTCTCGCTCCTTCATGTTTTTTTGGGGCCTGCTACTGTGATTTATCCATGTCTTTAATCTGGCCTTTCCATTCGTTTATTCTTGATCTGTGAGATGTATGTGTATAGACATTAGACATAGGCTTGTTTATGTACGATCGATGGGTATGGTTGTATATTTCATTTTCCGTTTCATGGATTAGTATTGTTATATACTTTTTTCTATAGATGATGGAGTTTTAATCTCAAGTCTCAACTCTTCCTTCCCTGTATGTATGATATAGAATTTTATTACTTAAATCGCTTAAAATTATTATTATTATTATTATTATGCGCGATATTATATAATTTTTCATAATAAATACGCATTTTAAAAATATATCCCTTTATAAGATAGTTTTATGCGTCTCGTTTTGATGCTTCAAAACAAACTATGCGATTATTTGAAACCTTCAATGGTGTTTCTTCCGTGTTGGTGTGCTGGTAATACACGAACAAGAACTTTCGCAATGGATGCATTAAAGATCGGCAAGTTCAGAGTGCAAAACGAAACTTCCACTTGGATTATTTTCTAATCGAGGCTTTGTGAAATGACACGCTGAGGATTTACGCGGAGATATTCACTCTGCAATATATTTATCTACGCTTTTTTTGCTTTTTTTAGTTGTACTTCCAATTTTTTCCTTTATTTAAGCTTTTGAAAAAGTCAAATTATTGAGTATATATTTTATCATCTATTTGCGCACCTGATTAGATAAGGACTAATTATTCTAAAGTTGTTAATGGTACGCGGTTATCTAGTCTGTTGTTTTGAAGAATGAACTTGTTATTTTTATAAACGTGAAAAGAAACTTGAAGGCAGATAAAAAAATAAAGGTTCAAATTAATAAAAAAAAAAAGTAAAGAAAAAAAAAACTCCAACAACTTTCTAAAAACTATATTTATAATGTTATTTTTTTTTGCACTTCTCTTAAATAAAACAACTTGACATTAAAATACTTAATCTTTTCATAAAGCACAAAATTGTGTACTTGATTATATATCGACAAATTTTTTTTAGCTTTCGTCTTCTTTAAGTTTAAATCTATCAAGATATTTTTTAACCAAATAACTTAATTAACATGTGCAACTCAACAATAAATTTAACTTCTGCTGTTAACTGACCTATAATCTCTTACTTTTTGCAATACAGAGAAAATATTTGAATCTATACTAAAGACAATAGTCTGAAGTACTCTTCATATCATCCAAGCTACCTGCCTAATGTATTTGATTTCATAGTTTATAGTTCTTTCAATATATCTCAAAACTCTCTTTGTTGCCTTCAAATGCAATTCAATAGCACAGTGCAACCTTGACAGTAAACTAACTGAAAATAAGATGTGAGGCGTTATAGTTGTAAGATACATTACACACTCAATTAAGCTTCTAAAATGAGTTTCATCAACTTTATCAAATCCATCCTTTTTGATGAACTTCTCCTTTAGATTCATAGGAGTGTTCATTGTTTTGGATTCATCAGGCTGGAATTTTCTTTAGGATTTCCTTTGCATATTTTCTTTGACAAATGAAGATTTCATTCTTCTTTTGAGTGATCTCCATGTCCCAAAAAACTATCATAAGATCAAGATCCATCATTTCAAAGACATTCTTCATTTCTTGCTTAAAATAATCAATTAGTGCTAGGTTACATCATGTCACCAAAAGGTCATCAATATACAAATAAATGGTTAAAATATCTGTATCAACATGTTTGATATAAAGTGTAGCTTTCTATAGGCTTTTCAATAAACCAAGTCTTAGAAGATGATCATTAATTCTATTGTACCAAACTCGAGCTTGCTTCAAGTTATAAAGAGCATTTTTTAGCAAATACAGTGTCTTCTTGACCTTTGATCGTAAAATCTTATGGTTACTCAACATAAATTTCCTCCTCCAAAAAATCATTTAGAAAGGTTGACTTGACATCCATATGAAACACTTAGCACCCCTTTTGTGCTACAATGGCAAATATCAGCTTGATTGTGTCAAGTCTAGCCACTAGAACAAAAGTGTCAATAATTGATCTCAAATATTTGTGCATAGCCCTTCACAACAAGACTAGCTTTATGTTATGGAGTTATTGGGATTGAATTTCATTCTAAACATCCATTTCACCTAATGACATTTCTATCATGAGGTTTTTGAACTAGCTCCCAAGTATGATTTTTCTCAATCATGGACAGCTTCTCTTTCATTACATCCATTCATTTATGGTCTATGGGAGCCTCTTCAAAATTAGCTAGTTTACATATAGCTACATTGCACACTTCTATACTGCTTCTTTGGTAGATCTTGGAGAGCAACCTTGTGCCTCAAATAGGAGGATCATCTACTGTATCTTCAAGCTCCAATACAAAATTTTGATTCTTCTTTGAGTCATTCGAGCTCTATTTTTCATCTTCCATAAAGTACCATCTCTGCTTATTAGAATTTTTTCTATTTGAGACTGAAAAATTCTATAAGCTTTAGAAATGGTGTTGTATATAATAAATACTCCATGATTTTCTCTTTTGTCAAGCTTGTCATGCTTAACCTGAGGCACATGTGAATAGCACAAACAACCAAATACTTTTAAAAAATCCAAAGAAGATTTAAAGTTAAACCAAACTTTGAAAGAAGTTTGATTTTGCACTGCTCATGTGAGAAGTTTGTTTTGAATGTAAATTGTTGTATTTGCAGGTTCAGCCTATAATTTCGTCAGTAACTAATTTTGATGAACCATACACCTAGTCATCTCCATGATTGATCTGTTTTCCTTTCATTGACTCCATTTTGTTGATGAGTGTAAGAAACAATGAGTTGATGTTGAATCTTAGCTTCTTCACAAAACTATTGAAATTGATCAGCTAAGTACTCTTTTCCATTGTTAGATCTTAGAGCTTGAATATGGCAGCCACTTTGATTTTTAACATGAATTTTGAATTTCCAAAATACCTAGCCACTTTTGATTTGTATCTAAGAAAATAAATCCAGCACATTCTGGTTAAGTCATCAATAAAAATGATATAATAAAACTTTACTTTATTGATGAAGTTCTTTGTGGTCCAGCAATAATTGTGTGAGTAAGTTGGAGTTTCTGACTTGTCCTCTACGTACTTTTAGAAAATGGTTTTCATATTTTCTTTCCAAATTTACAACCTTCACATTCAACTAACTTTTTCAGTTAATGAAGAAACTCCATGGACTAGTTGATTTTTCAGCATGTAGTTCATTGAAAGGACCTAGCCTTCTATGCCAAAGATCAATTGAACTACCTGGAACTAGAAACGTAACTTACTCATCTTTCATTGGATCAAGTGAAAAGTTCTTACTCTTCATCTTGATTTTGAACATTTCTTGGTTTGCTAAATCCTTTATTATGCAACTTTTATCTTCAAAAAGAGACTTTGAATCCTTTCTCGAGTAGTTGTCCAATACTAAGTAAGCTTTGATTAATTTAAGGTACATATAGCACACCAGTTGGATCATATTTGAGTAGCTTGTTATCGCTATTATTGTCTTGTGTCTTAGGAGTGTTCATGGGTCAGTTTGGTTCGGGTTTGAGTAAAAATCCAAACCAAAGCAATTAAATTTAATTAGTTCGGATTAGTTTGGATTTGAATTTTTTTCCTATCTAACCCAAACCAATCAAAATTAGTTTAATTTGTTTGGTTTGGTTTGGGTCATCAAATATACGATGAAAAAAATTAATTTTTTTTTCAAAATAAACAAATTATCCAAAATTTAATAAATTGCTAAATTAACAAAAATTCAATAAATTGTCCAAAAACATAGCCACAATTCAAACTAAATTGTCCAACATTAACTAAACAAAAGAAATAAACATTTTCTAAGATAAAGTCAAACTATAAAATTAAGTACACATATTTTCTAAACTATATAAAATTTAGTACACATATAAAATCAATATAAAATCTTTGTTCTTCTTGCACTCTTATCAACCATTGAAAAATAAAAAATTAACCATCAACCTACAATAATATATCAAGTGAAGTAAATGTTAGAAGTTATTTAAAGTTTAATATAAAACATAAACTCATAAATCAAAAATAAATTCATAACCTTGAGATGTACCAAGTGTGTTAAGCCTAGCTCCAATTGTAGCATAGATAGTTCTACCATCACTTACATCTAATCCAGACAACTCAATAAAATACAAATATAATTGATCATAAATCTATAATCATAGATCAACTTATATATCAAATTGTTAAGAATAAAAGAAAATAATTATTTATACATGATTCAACCTTTTGTGATTGATCTATCTCATCTTGGAGTTCAAGAGGATTAGGAGAGGTCCTAAGCTAATTTTGACAACAAATCAAAGCTTCAATAGTATTAGGATTTAAGGAACTCTGAAATGAGTCAAGGACTCAACCTCCTGTGCTAAAAGCACTCTCAAATGAGACAGTAGACACTAGGATAGCTAAAATGTCTCTAGCCATACAGGAAAGTACATAATACTTTGCTAACTTCACTTTCCACCACTTTAAATGTCAAATTCTACACTAGGATGTGAGTTTTCAACATCATCTTCCATGTACTTATCCATCTCATTCCTCTTCACTTCACCTTATTTCTTCCTTATTTTCATCCTAAACTCATTTGCCTAATCTCCCTCATCATCATCATCTTCATTAGTAGCAACATTAGACTGAGAAGCAAAGCTTGATGATATGCTACCAGAATCGCAACCATTAAGAGGAAAATTATACACGGTAGAATAATACTTGAACAACCTTTCAATGTCTCTTAACTTTTTGATCATATCTTGACTCCTCTCATGACCATATAACCGACCAAAGCAAAACTCAATATATTGAAGCTTAACCCGTGGATCAAGAAATTCAGCAACAAACAACAAGTTATTTATCTCACAACTTTCTAAATATTTAGAAAACTTGATTTGCATATTTGTAGTCATATTTTGTAATATTGGATCATTACTTTTTCTCCACTTGTTCAATGGCTTTTGAATTTTACACAATTATGTTAAAAACAAATGTATTGTCACATGTAATGAACCAGAAAAAACAAGGGTTACATTATAAAACACCTTCAACACTTTGAAAAACATACATGCACGCTTCCAATCATCACTACTAGGACATCTCCCATCATTAGCAAGAGCAATCAAGTATTGAGCATCATCATATTCAAGTCACTTAAATGCTTTTCAAAATTTTCAGCAACATCTAGCATAAAAAATTGTAGAATTCCACCTAGTTGATACATCAAGACAAACAAAAGCTTCACTAGTTATACTTGCATCATATGCACACCTTTTTGAAGGTAGTCAATCTAGATGGAGAAGATCTAATAAATTTACATGCAACCCTTATTCTATTAATAGAAGGGTCAATTTCTCTCAATCCATCACTTTCAATCAAGTTCAAAATCTGAGCAGCACATCTCATGTGCATCAAATCTCCAACCAACAAAGTGTTTCCATTCCAATCACTCACGCTTCTAATTAAATATAAAATAGCTAAGTTGTTAGAACTTGCATTATCATCAGTTACACAACCAACTTTAGTTATCCCCCAATCCTTTAAGCATTTCTCTAAGCTTTTTCCTTACGATTTCACCTTTGTGATAAGAAATCAAATTAAATTGCAAAATTTTCTTATTCATTGTCCATCCATCATCAATAAAATGAACAATCACACACATGTAATTCATGTTTTGGATTGATGTCCAAGTATTAGTGGTAAAAGAAACCATTTGATTATTTGTAGTCAAAATAATTTTTAGATTCTCTTTCTCATGCAAATACAATTGCATACAATCTCTAGCAATAGTGATACGTGAAGGGATCTTAAATCTAGGTTGA